AATTTTATTAAAATATAAAAGTTTGTTGTATTGAAAGATTAAGTATGAATAAATTTGTATTATTTTTAGGACAAAAAGTTGTAAAAAAAAAGTTTAATTAGAAGTTTAAAAGCTGTTAGTTTAGTAAAATATTAAGAAAAATTAAATTGTTTGTTAGAGAAAAGTTGGTTTTAGTAATCTATAGAGAGAGTTAAGTAATTGGCATCTAAAAATTATAAATTTAAACTATTGTTATAAAATGAATTATTATTATTTTATTATTATTATTATTATTATTATTTAGTATTAGTATCTTATTATTATAGTAGTAGTTATTAGAACTTTTTAGTTATTTAGTAATTACTTAGTCATTTAGTTAATTAGTCACTTAATAATTAGTTACTTAGTAATTATTAGTTATTAGTTACTAGAACCTTTTAGTCACTTAATACTTAATCATTTAATCACTTAGTTATTTAGTTGCTTGGTTGCTTAGTTACTTAGTTTACAAATATATAAACTTTGCTAAATTTCTCAAATCTGATTAAGCAACAAACATCACTCTTTCTTTTATATTATAAAGACATTTTAGGATTTTTTAGAAACAGAAATTTAAAGATAATCCTTCTTGTTATTATTTTAATAAATAACTTTTGACTATAAATTGTATTAATACTTTTTCTCTAGAATAATTTTTATAGGCAAGGTTTATTTTCTTTTAGTAAAATAAAGTAAAGTTATTGGTATTGCATATTTTTTTCAAACTACTTTAGAAAAGAGTATAGTTTCTTAATAATGTTTAACAGAAGCTATACTTTTCTCTTGAATACTACATATATCTATAAGAGATTCTCTGTGCTGTGTCATTATTATAGTATAAAAATTAAGAAAACTTTCATCTATAACACTATAGTTAGCTTTTTATATATACTGTTTAATTTTATAACTTTATTAGAAACTTATTTTACTTCATAATTTAAACTACTTGACAATTTACAAAAACTTAAAAAAAAACTAAAATTTTTTTCTTAATAAGCAACTATTATAACTAAAATTTTATTATACAAAATTAATTAATTATTATAGTTTTAATAAGATTTTATTAACATATAGAAGTAAGTCAATAAAAATGCATCAAATCTTTTTTAGTCTTTAAACAAAGATAACTTAACAAGAAATTATTCAAATTTAATAAAAAATTTTTTAAACAAATTCTATAAGAATTTAGAATTAATTTTAAAAATTTTTTATTAAATATAGTTAAGTTCTTGCTAAGTTATTTAAGCTTAAAGTTTCAAAAAAATTTACTTAGAAAAAATCTGATGCATTTCTATTAACTCACCCTCATATTTTAATCTATTTTTAAACAAAAACTATTATTAATTACTTATTTAAAATTAAATAGCAAAGTTAAATATTTATTTTTACTAAATTTATTAAAAAAACAAATATTTAACAATTATAAATTTATTTTAAAAAATTTTATAAATTTAAACTATTGCTAAATAACTTTTTTATACAAAAACCAATATTATTAAAAAGTATATAAAACATAAACTGAAAACTTATTTAACTACTTTATAATAAATAATAATATTGCAAAAAATTTTCTAAATTAAACTAAACCAAAATACAAAATATGGGTTTTATAAGCAAAAAAATACTAATTACTAATCTAAAACTATTTCAAATTGATTTTATATTTAACATTATACTAATAAAATAATCAAACAAGTTTAAAAAAAAAAGAAGTAAAAAACATAAAATTTTAATTAATTAAAAAAATTTTTAAACAATCAATATAATTTTTGTATTAAGTAATGTTATTTACTTTTTATATTTAAGGCTTAAATAGAAAAATAAAATTGTTAAACATAGTTATAACTCGACATATTCTAACAAACAAACAAAAACTATCTAATAACTCTACAAAGATTACAGAATACAAAATTACTATACTAATTGCATTACTTAAAACACTGATTAATATAGCCAAACTAATTTGAAAACATTACTATTTAGCTTAATACAACAAAAAAATCACAATTATATTAACCTTAGTTCAACTTCAAAAAGCACTAAAGAACAAATCTGATCAATTTACATATTACTCAACAAACTGATGTTACACCTATACTTAGAATGTTAAAGAATAAAACCTCTCTAATATGAAAATAATATTACAGCTTCTTTCCACTAAATAAAGGTCAGAAAGCATTTTTGTTGCAAATTTATTTGGATGTGTCGATCACTTGATTGTTCATATATATAATGACTATCTCCGACATGTCGCCCGACTGATATATCTAAATTTATTAAAGAATTAGTGATTATAAATTTATTTTACTAACCTAGATGAGTTAAAATGTCGTTATTATCAAGGTAACTATAAATTATAATGACATCTTAATAACGTGAAACAAATTTTAAAAATATGTAGTTAAATCAAAAAAATCTTATTTAAATCTTGATATTTTTTTTAATTTAAATAAACTTTTTTTTAGTCTTGTAATGTAGCTTTTTTTTTTTTCTTTCTTAGATAATCACATTAGAACTGATTACAATGTCACCCATAATATCTGGTATGTTCTGATCTGGCTAGATGTGTCTATTTAACATTGAAATATGTCTAAATTTGAATTAACAATTATGGTCTAAATGGTTATGGTACATGCGATAAATTTAACCATTGATCTAAAGATTAAACTAAACAATCTCTACAAATCTAATCAAAGACATTCATAAATAAAATGAATCCAATCAAAAAAAAATTTATATAATAATCGTATTAACAATGATTAATTGGTAATGAGACCTTAGGCATTATATTCTATACAGTATCACAAAGAACCCAAGTTTCCCCATCCATATTTTCATTATCATCATCAATGTCTGTGAATAAAAATTTAATCATTAACGATTCAGATTAAACAATAATACTAAACTATGAATATAAGATATATATATATTTAATACCTTCTTCAAAATAATCGTATAAAGCGCCCGGTATATTAAATCTTAATATGCTGTCTTCTCGACCGTTCCCGTTTATCCATACAAACATTCTCCGTACAACATCTTCGAAGTCTAAACTAAATGATTGGTCAAAAATCCGATTCAAAGCGGTGAGGTGACCCATCCTTTTTAAGAAAGAAGAAAGTATTAATTAAATGACTTATAAATTGGATGATTAGGAAAAAGTATAATTGTGCTTACCGGCCGAGGTTTGCCGCTTGACAGCACAGAAATAAATTCTGAAGCGTATGTGATATTCTGGTGTGAGGAATATCTACACCTTGCGTATGACATAAATATGCGATGTTGTAATTAAGCATTGCCATCCCTACAGTAAAATCTTCAGAATTACGATCTGTCAAATAAAGAGGCCTTTTACTTTTATATAAAATACATAAAGTAGGTGGCTTTAATGAGAAAATATTAACACAAAAAAAAAAAAAGACATTAAATTATTTGAAAATAAGATCTACCTTATTGGAATTCCATGAATAGAACCCTTAGCAAAAGATTTGTAACCCTTATTTATTACTAGAAACGGCAACTTTATGCCAAGATAGAATGCAATCAATCCAATCATGTGCATCACATGCCCGACAGCGGTATTAATTCTTATTATTTCTTCTTCTTTCCTCTCTCTGTCATTCACATGGTGTCCTATTTGATCCATATTATTTGTTTATTATGAAATGAAATTTTGAATAAAATTCAAAAGGATAACATGCTAATTCTTACTTATGCAATGTTTTTTTGGTAAGGTTATACCAGCAATTGCATGTTCACAATCATCACCAATGCTATTTGCTACTATATGACCATTCTCTGACATGCCATCATTTTCTCTAATTCTAATATGATTTTCCTGGCTTGATACTCTTTTTAAGTCAAATAATGAAACAAGTTCACCGATCAAGACTTTTCTTGAATGCGCAAGTATTTTATGTACATGTTGCCATCTTTCTTTTGTATTATCAATGTCCTTCGTAATTAAAGCTTGTTGATGAGATTTAAACTTTTTAAAGTAGGTGAGAGATTCTTGTAAAACTTCACGTCGCGTTTTAAGATTTCGTTTTAATTTATCGACTTCCTGACGATCTTAAAATTACCATGGAATTTAATTTATATTGTAATATAATAGAAAACATTTTGTATGAATTAAGAAAGTAAAAAAAAAAAAAATTGAAAAAAAAAGTTGAGAAAAAAGATAAATGAAATATTTTTAAATATAACATTTACCTCGAGCGATTTCTTCTCTTATTTTACTTATTTCGAGCTCCAAAATGTTCACTTTTTGAACTTTTGTATGTTTTTCGGCCAAGTTTACCTGTATATTTTTCATAGTTCCTGATAGAAAATTATTTGCCAGATCAACCTTTTTTTGTTTATCATAAGTGATCTGATTCGTTTCAACCTTGTAAGAATGTAGCCTTAAAAGAAAATTGATAAGCTAGGAAGTAGTGTTATATAAAAATCCAAAGTGAAGTATTCGATAAAAATCATACCTTTCTCGAATACAGTTTGCACACCAAAATTTGCGATGAAAATTGTGACAAATTTGACATTCCATCCTTTAGAAAATAAATGCAGAAATTGTTTTAGCCCAGAAAAATTTGATTTTTTTTCTCAGGAATTTATAAAAATTACGTAATTCATTGTGTTGTTAAAATTTAAGGCCAATCATATCGTGAGAAATTAAAACCTTCTAATTGCTTCCAAAAGTTGACAAATACCAATACCAATACAGTATTCAATTTAAATTAAATTTGAAGTGACACAGATTTAGTGTTTCGCAGTTAAAATATTAACAATTCAAATGCATGGATAGTAAGTTATTAAGATGTAAATGCACCAAGAAAATGATAATCTAATCTTTATTTATAGTACGTATGAACAAACCCAAAGAAACAAGTTTTAATGCATTTATGGTACATTCTCATTGTGGATTATCGTTATGTCTAAATTGATTTTTTTTTTTTTTTGACAATTCAGAAAGAATGCGTCAGAAACAGTAATAATTTTGCTTTTTTCGGGTTCACTCCATTATTTGTCATTCTTAGTTAATTCTAAATTGTTCCCAATCGTAGTTATACTTTGCATTTTTCGTAAAAAAAAAAAATAAACCAAGTCACATGTAATAATTAGTTTGATGTTGCAGCAACGATAAATTCATTAAGGCACTTAATTTTCATTAACTTGTCTCCCTGAAGGGTCAACAAAACTACTGATATTAGTCAATTACCACACTTTTTGCCAAATGTTCTTAAATGAGTTCTGCAATGATGCGCAAAAACCCGACTTTCTATCGGGGAGCGCCAAATGAATACCGTCATCAATATACGTAATTTTGTACACCTCATTACACGTGATAAATAAATATCACGCGTTGAATTTTATCAATATCGATATATAAGAGTAATGTAAGATTTGTTTCTATATCGCAAAAATGGTTGGTTTGAGGTTCTTCACTACTTCAGTTAGATCCTTACTTCCGCTGGCTTACAAACTTTAAAATTTACAATAGTCGGGGAGAGTATTAGCGCAGATTATTCTTGTAGGTACCCAAATCGTAGGAAAAGCTTTTATTGAAGCGTTCAAACAAGCTTCTGCAAGTTCGTTTTTTTTTTTTTTTTTTTTTATTTTTTAAGAAAAAAAGTGATATAAGTAATCGTACAACTTATTCATTAATATTTGTAATTAGATGCGGGAAAAAATGGTGGTTCGGCCGTTAGAGGAGTTGATGCTTTGACGAGACAGACGGGAATAACATTAGAAGAAGCTTGTCAGATCTTAAATGTTAAGAAAGATACTTTAGATTCTACGCAAGTTACAAAGGTACTCATAAATAATTTGCACTTTCAACCAGACCTCGATATAGTCACAAATGATAAAAAAAAATTCATTTCATTTTACCTATCATTATAAAGCATAAAAAAATTAACCTCTGTATAGGCACTAACATTGAATTTTGGTTACCAACCTGGTGATTATATCGAGGTCTGGCTGTATATGTCTTTATTAATGTAAAAATACTAATATTCTCTATAATATTCCAAGCATTACGATCATTTATTCAAATCAAACGATACTTCTGTTGGAGGATCTTTTTATATACAGTCAAAAGTAGTTCGAGCTAAAGAACGTATCGATTTGGAATTATCTAATAATGGATCAGGCAGTAATGAATCTGCCCGTTCTGATCAGTCCCGATGAGGGTTGCTACCGTAGTTTGGTTTTTTAAAATCCAAGTATATATCCCATTTTCGGTCAATAGTATCAGATTTAAAAATTAGTTAAATTTATTAAATCAACACGATAAATTATTAAGAATGATTAGCGACTAAGCAAGATTGTTATATGTTAAGTTTAATAATTATATCGGAAATATATAAAATAATTATAAAAATGAAAGGTTCCCACATTCAAAATAAACTTCGAATCATAAATAATAAAATTTTCAACCAAGTTTCCTTCGAAATTCGAAAAGTAAAAACCTTATTAGTTGCGTAGTTCATAGTTAATTTATAAATGAATTATTGTGATCATGATCCAATTCCTAGTCAATTAGCCTACATATTTAATTCACATTTAGAGCGGCCTATACTAAATGAAGTGTTGTTGATTGGGAAGTTACCCATCAATTTTATTGGGAATAGAATTTCAATAAAGTACTTTCCAATAAATTCGGACCATCTTGATCAATGCACCTCTATAGAATATCTTGTTAAGTTCAGTGTTAGCCGAATCTGCAATCATGTAACTATCTCCCGACCTAATCCTTTCTCGAATCAATTTAGTCTCTTATAACGCAATATATACGTATATTTTACAAAAAAGTTTAGCATAGAAACTTTTTTAATAAACTTAATTGGCTATAAATAATACTGAAATAAGATTAGACTAATTCAATTCATTCTTAACTATTTACTGTGTGTGATCAGCAAATTTACACATTGTAAAGCAATTATAGCATATCGATATTAGGAAATGCCACTTTTACGTATGGAGTTTTACACCTATATATAATATCAAAAACTGGCCAATTAATCAGTACATGGCGTTCTAAGTAAACATACAGTACACCACATCCCCCAAAACTCTTCCCAACCCGTAAATTTAACTATAAATACTAGCTGTAGCTGCGTTTTACGTATAATAATTAAAAAGCTATTATTTACCAGGGTTGTTATGAAGTAAATTACCAGGTAATTTACCAAAGGTATGGTAAATTACCTTTATATATAATATATATTATATTAAAAAATATAATAAATAAATCTAATTCAGCCAATTAGATTGCAGAATTAATTATGAATATTGTTATACAGTATATATAAGACATTTAATATAAATAAGAATTATTATTTCTTTATATGAATGAAATTAATAAGTTGTTTATAAACAATAAAGCATAACGATAACTAAAATACAGTGCGTTTTGAGAATTATATATAGAAAGCAATGTTTAAGTAAAACTATATAAAAATTGCAATTTATAATTATTATAGACAAATTTGCTATTAGTACTAGTTTTAGCTAGTATTCTAGTTTGCACAACAAAACCAGATCTTTCTAAAATATTCTTTATTTATATACTATATTTTTAAATCTATTAATCTTTGTTAACTTGAAAAATTAAAATTATATAAAGTTGTATAATTATACATATTAAAATAATCAATTCATATCAAATTTTAGTAAAATTGTAACTTTTTAGTAATATTAATATTGTAGTAAGTTTAATAATATTAAAATACTATTAATTATATAGTATTTATAACAGTATATTGTATATACTTAAGCTAATATATAATTCTATTGACTATAATAATTAACATACCTACTAATTATCAATTTACTATAATTTATCAGCCTTTTGAGTAAATTATCAAAATTACGGTAATTTATCAACCCTGTTATTTACAAGCTAAGAGAAATTAACTATGTAAAAAAAAAGATTAATTTCTTATAATAATAATAATAATAATAATAATAATAATAATTATTATTATTATTATTATTATTTGTAATATAACAACATCAATATTAGCCAATCAGATTAAGATAAACTATTTTAATTTTTTTTATAGGTTGGCTGATACAAGGTTGTTACATGTAACAGGTTGTTACGAGAACATTTATTCTTAAAATTTTACTAAATTTTACATTTTTTTATATATATATGTTTTATAACAACATATTATATATATAACAACATATAATTAACCAATTAAATTTTAGTTTAATAGCAACATTGTTACAAATAAAATGCGTAACGTGTCGTTACAATTAGATTAGTCATGTATGCAGATTATGCACATTTCTCTTCAATAATCCACTATTCTAATTCATTCATTTCCAATTTTGTTGAGGCAAAGTAATGTCAAATTTCTTAGTGGTTTGCATTTACATATCCAAACAACGTTACTGGAATATACGTATGTATCTATTACAAATAAGCAAATATTTTAATAAAGTTTCTAAAACTTTAATGCCAAACATATACATCCCTCAGTAATCTTTAAATGCACGTCAGGCAATGCAATTTCACACTGAACTTGCTACGTACTGCTAATATAGTCTACTTAAATAAAAAGTGCCAAGGCCACATGATACTGTATAATAGATTTTGAAATGACATTTATATATAGTTAGAGATAGTAAAAACAGTATAATACTCATATAACATACTGTATCTTTTTAAAAAATATATATAATCAACCCATTTGGATTAGACAATTCTGTTGATATATGCGAGGGTTGATAGTTTTTATATAGTCCAAGTTTATTTTTTATTGAGAGGTTGATATTAATAAGAGGTTGATATTAACAAGGGTTGACTGTAGTATACGTCTAGTTTTTTATAGTACGTATAATGCAGACTAGCTCTTCTTTTATATCAATATAAAGTTATTATTTAAAAAAAAGCATATAAATAATTTATATTGCAATACAAATTTATGAAAATAATATAGAGAATATATTCTTTAAATAAAGTATAAATTTTATAAAAAATTTGCTTGATTCTTATTAATTTATATACGTATTGGTCTAATCAAAATTAGGTGTTAGAGTACTGGAGTGAGTAAGTTTCTTTGATACTTAAACAAATAAACAAATTTTATTAAGAGTAAGAATATTGATAACGGTTTCTAATACTATACTGTAATTAAAACTGTTTCTAAGTAAAAATGTTCAGAACCCCAAAAAAATCTTATGTGAACTAAAATTTAGACTATTATAGCCTACGTATAAGTGCATCCTAACCCTAAATTTTCATACGTAGTAATTTTATGGTGTCAAAAACACCATGGCGTGCTTTAGTATTATTATTATTCAGAAAAAATCGGTTATTAATAGACCTTCTAAAACAGTAATTCTAGTCAATTGACTATCTACAATGCATATGATTTTCATCACCTGAGGTCGTAATTTTTTTTTAGTGCCAGATTCTATATCGATATATTTTGAGTGTACAATTAAAGTTGTGTGCGTAAAATTTCTAATTCAATTTTAAATTCTAAAACGCCATTGCTATTTTTTTTTTAATTGCACCAGAAAGATTTTAACCGACTTACAATTTGAATCCAAAAAAACAGTAGTAAGCTTTTAATGGCAGTTTCACAAGATCCTTTAGTAAGCGGGAGCGAAATTTGGAATCAATCGCGTCAAGTTTCTACGAACAAAGTATCTCGTACTAGGCAAAAAAATGATCCTTTACCTCAACCTCCACAAGATGGTTATTACTTACGAGTATCAATTACAACTCTAGACAAAAACCGTCGTGATCCAGTTTTCAAATTCAGAGCCATTGTATATATATATATATTTTTTTTCTTTTAGGATCTTTATTTCAGTTTACTTCTACTTTTGCCATTACTAAGAAATATTTTCCTACATTCTCCTAAAGACAAATTTACCAAGATTTAGACATACTTCATATACTCACCTCGAGCGTACCTATAATGAATTCGAACGATTATATAGTTCTTTAGCTTATTCTAATCCGGAATGCATTGTCCCCGCTTTGCCCTTTTCTGCGACTAGTTATCAAGGAACTGAAGAGGACGAACGTAGAGTAAAGAAGGCAATGCAACAATGGGTGGATCGTGTGTCAATGAACCCTATATTGTGCCACGATGAAGAACTCAGGTCTTTTATTGAGACCGATTTTGCAGTGAGTTGATTTGCATTTTTATCCAAATTGATAATTTTTATATAATTATATTATATAAATTAATTGTTTGTATTTATATATATAGTTTATCCCCGCCACAAAACCGAGAAAGAGGTCCAGTGGTTTTAGATTCAGATTCTCAACACAAGTGAAGGATGATGATATGAATTTGGCTCAAGCCAAGTCAATCTCACATTTGCTTGAAAGTCATTTTGTCGATGTCGCTAGAAATGTACAAAAGTTGTCTAAGTCACGAAAAGGTTATTATATAATTATTTGTAATATTCAATTATATTGTACCATACAGTTATATATTTATTAAAGATAAAAATATATTAAATGTTTTAGGTTTGGCCATATGTAGCACTGAATTTGGTATCAAGTCTCATGCTTTGGGTACTGTTGAAAAGCATCCGCAATTATCAAAGTAATTTATTGTGTAATTTATCATAAAGGTTGTATTATAGTCAATATTTAATTTTTTTTCTTTTTAAACAGTGGCCTTCGTAAACTTGGCAAGACGCTTCAAATTATCGGTGATTTACAAAAATCGCAAGCTATTAGTGAAGCAGCAGCTCTTGGTGATTTTTTTAGTTATTATGCTGTTAATGCACATATAGTTAAGGTATATATGATTATTATTTAATTTCTACTGTAGTTATATAGTATTTTAAAGATCATTTCACATCTATTAGGAAACTTTGGCAAATCGTCTTAGAATAATTACAGAACATGAGGATGCAGTGAAAGCCACCATAAGTAAAAAACGGTACATGGAACGTTTAAAATCTTCTACATCAATAAAGTCTGATAGAGTTGATGAAGCATTGAAAGAATTTAAATATGTACTATTATCATTGTTTTTATTTGTTATTTTATGTGTTGATTTAATTTTTTCTTAAATAAACTAACTATAATGTTGAAAATAATTTTATTGAAAAAAAAAATAGGCCGAAGATTACGAACAAAACCTTGATGCACGTGTCAAACGTGTGACAAAAAACCTTCATTCAGAATTGCAAAATTATGAAGATAATCGTACTCAAGATTTCATCAAAGCCGTCAAAGAATATGTGTACAAACAAATTATATTTGAAAAACAGCAGCTGAAAGAATTGGAAAATTTGAGACCCGATATTAATGCTATTACGAAACGAAATATGAGCAGTTATGCGTTTGGAGAGGAAGAACTTACACCACGTGTTGTTGCGGAAAAACTTAACTTACGCTAAATGAAAAATAGACAAGATATCAAATAGTGCATATAGAATTCTCGTTAATTGTAAAGCCCAATATCTTATAATTTTCGAACTTTTTTTTTCTTTTCGCATAAAATTTGTATAACATTTATATATATGTATGAATGGAATTTTTTTTTCTTTTTGTAACATAGCGGTTTCAAGAATCAGGCACAGGCAATATTGTACTGTAAAAAAAAAAGAACAATTGGAACATTATACGTATTAAACCTTTGGATAATTATCTATTCTATTTTTTTTTTTTTAACAATTAATTTTATAAGAAAAAGAACAGATCAAAAATTACAAAAAATTTAATTTGTTTTATCCCATGAATACCACACTGCGTACTTCTATAAAATTCTAAAACTTTCAAAGTCAATCTTTTTAGAAATCTGCATAGCTGTGCAGTGAAGCATCTCTATTAATTTTTATTTTATAATTTAACCAACTTAGAATTCTGATATCATGTTAAGGTGCATACATATCCGTTCTTGTTTCATCATTGTCGTCCACGTCATATTCGTCGTCGTCTTCATCTTTCCGCGTGCATGCGTGTGTCATACTTGTTAGGTTTTCACGTGAAAAAATGAAAATTATTGACCTATGTTCCTGTTACAAATGCATCAAAATTAATGCCGACGACAAAATGTAAAGCATTCGACCCTCAAACTTTTATAAGACGTAGAAATTGATAAAATCGATAAATTATAACCAATGTTGGCAAATAGACAAAGTTCAAATTTGTCTTTATATAAAAATTGGTTTTCTTATTAATATTTAAATATATATTGTTAGAGCATTAGTAAAGTAATTTATACTTATTTTAATATATATTGTTAGAGCATTAGTAAAGTAATAAATTTAAACAAGTGATCAGAGAATCATGCAAAAAAATATCTGTGCTAATTAAGTCCTTCAAACAACAGGAGGAAACGTTGATGTTACACAATTGATTTTACACACGGTGTGAAACACATAATTTTTTTACAATACTTGAACAATCTTGATCAGTCAGCTAGTAGATGTTATGATTATAATCCAACACTATTTTTATTATAGTAAAAATGGTGTTGGATTATAATCATAACATCTACTAGCTGACTGTTCAAGTATTGTAAAAAAATTTTTTTGTGTTTCACACCGCGTGTAAAATAAATTGTGTAACATCAACGTTTCCTCCTGTTCCTTCAAACTGTACCATTGGTTTACGTGCATTGCATTGTACACAGCCGGAGTCGAAAATCACTTATTTTCGTAGAAACATCATGATCACTCGCTCTAACCGTTAATTCAGATCAGAATAATCATTGGATTTTTTAAAAGTATTCCTTATAGCCATATATAGATGCATAACAGATTTTCTTTGTGATTGGATGATACAGCAGAGACCGTTAATGTTACACGTATATTGAAACTGGTGAGGGATTATATCCATCACAATTGTGATTGATCACAGGCGAGAGGGATTCACTTTGGATCGGGCACTGTTACTGCTGTGGATTGGATAATAGATCGGAACGTTACACGATATGTTTTACATATGGGTAATAATTTTTGAAGTCGGACCAATTATGTAATCTATGACATAGATATTATTAATATATCAGTGATTTTTTTATCTATAAAAAGGAATTTTTTGTAAAAGAAAATTTTTCTATATTTTTTAATTAATAAATTATCATGTCAAATGAAAAGATTGACCAAATAATTAACAATATCAAAGTTATGCATAATAATGCAAATCTAAAAAATAAATCCAATATACTTTCTTTGTTAGTTAGAATTTTTAGTTAATTACAACTCAAAGATTTGGGATTTCAATTTAGTAATGATCAATTTAAAACTGCTGTTTGAAAGGCCAATAAGTTATTATTTTTATTAAGGAACTATCAATAGTTTATTATGTTATTATGAACAGCTATTGATGAAAATACAAAGCAGATTATTTTTAAATTTTTTTATAATAATTTATGAAAAACATTATATACAAAACAAAAAAAATTCAAATATAACTGAAATATATTTTTTAAAAAAACCAAAGCATGATATCTATTTTGAATTAAAATTACAATTTTCAAATATAAATTTAACTTAAATTCATTTTATAAATTGTGTTCAAAAAATTTTAAGAAAGTTAAAAAAAAAACTGCATATGTCAAAGATGTATTAAGAGACAATATACAAAAAAAATTTATAATAATTTATATTCATACCTATAGCAATTAATACAATTAAAAAATTACAAGAAACAATTAATATTATTATTATTATTGTAATTTTAAAGATCAACAAAACTACTTTTATAAACAATCAATTGAATATATAACAACTTTATCTTACATGATTGTAATAAACTTTAAAAAAAATATTAAGATCAATAATAGTTCAGTTAAAACTGAAAATAATTTTTATAAAAAAATATAAGTATTAGTTCTTGGATTTACAATGTATTGTTATGAACCTAATTAAAGTTTACATACACAATATTTTGACTAATTTTCTAATGTTTTAAACCATAATTCATCATTTATTATAGACTATATTACAAAGTTTTTAAATCATTCTTTTATGTTAAGGTTTAATAAAGCTTGTTTTTGGGCAGATTATAAATCTTATTTTTGGTTGATTAAATTAATAGATTTTTTTTTTATTATATATCTTCAGTATGTTAAAGAAAAATTTATTTAAATTATTTTACAAAATACTACAAAAAAATATTATAGATAATTATTTTGGTATATTATCCTAATAGTTTTTAGAAGAAGCTACATAAAATATTTATATAATTGAAAATTTAATTAGCTTTTTTAAGAAAAAACTAATTAAAATTATATTAATATCAAAGTTCTAATAATAAATTTTGATATTTTTATTTATAAACATAACATTAATCAAATATTCATAAATTATATGTTAACAATTTTAAATCTTATCAGTTATTTGTACAAATAAATAATAAACTTTACACTTCTATATATATATTTTTTTTTTGATATTAAGGTGACCTCTTTGGTCTTTTGATTTTTATTAATCACTTGTTGGTATTGTGGTTCAATGAACCACTACAGGAGA